TGCTAAAAAAAGAAAACACACACAAACACAAAGACACACAAGCATGTGCGTGCACATAATCACACATATATACACACTAAAACAGCTTCTAATCCTCCTCCCTCTTCCTACCGATTTCTTCCCAAGCTGCTTCTGTTGTTACCTGCCTTGACTTGCAACTCTCAATCTGTTGGTCTCCTTTGGTTTTACTTTTGTGCATGCTAGTGAGTTTTCTGGATTTAGTCCTAGTAGAGTCTAGCATCTCTAGTTCAACTCCTCTCTATTAATTGGACGTCTTGGTTTGTTGTTTTGGTCAGCTAAGCCAGTTTTAGTGATCCAGTCAATTTATAGTTGAAACTTGGTCATGGTTGGCCTAGGGATTAGGTTTTGCCAGAAACAAAGATGATTTCTGGGAAGCTTTAATTAGGAAATAAATGGATGCAAATACATAATATATAGGTCTTGCTGCTACCATTTTGTTTCCTTTTAAAGAATTCCAAATGGGATCAGTTCCCTGAGAAAAGGGACAGCAGTATTCAAATAGATTAAGAAGATAAACTACTCCACTCTTCAAAAAGAATTTCCATCACTCCTTGCTAAACAATCACTAATGGACTCTAATTATGTAGCCAGATTCTTCATGCAGCCAAGCGAGGAAATACAGTAAAGCTGAAGTGGTTCTTCAAAGAGTTTCCAAAGTCTGAAATGGATGTCAAATAACACAGGACAAATTAGTTAGGCTAGTGAGTTCTTGTTATTTTACATCACTTTCCTAATCAGACTCAAGTCTGCATATGGAACAAAACTAGACAGCAGAGCAGAATCTTTTTATTTCTCTTTCTAGAAGTCCTAGTAGGTAAGGTGGGCAACTTTCTCCTCACTCACCAAGAGGTCATGGATGCCATATGATACAGTGGAGCCTAACCTTGTCGGGTGAGAATAAAAAATTCGACAGAAAGTACCAGGCATAAAATTTATGTGAGAGATTAATCACAAATCAGATAAACTTATCATATATTTTTTTTTCAAATACATAACCACACTTTTTAATCAAGTTAACATCGAAGATAAACCAGAACCTTTTATGCTGTAGAGATGATAAATTCTTTCACCACTCTTGAGTCATGATGGTACCTCAATGAGTTCGGATTTAATTCAATCCAAATTTCTGCTTCTTTTCCAGCAGACACATTCTATCATTACATGAGGAACTATGCCAAAAATAATGCTAAGTTTATATACACGCTGGCTAGCTACTACTTGATAGTTCCTGATGACAAGGAAATAAATTAACCAAACACAAACTAACAAACTCTAAATGGGAATCACATACAGTGTCCATAGAGATAGAAAAGCTAAAGCAATAGGAACTAACAACAAAGAGTTACCCGTATGACTATGAAAACCAATTTTAGATGGCTAGATAATATGTAAGAAATTATGAGTATAAGCAATGAGATAAATTTGGAAAAGAAATTAAATGACAAACTTGTGGGAAATTAGGTTCTAAGAAAGAAATAAAAGCAATCCAAATGTTATTACAGCACTTTTTACAAACTGACTTCTAATATAATGCTTTCCTAGGTAGAGAACATGGTCTACAGGTGCAGTAAACATTGCTCAAATGCTTCAAGTTTGTAGATTACTCACGGCTTGTCCAACTGTACGTGGAAAACCATCAAGAATAAATCCTGATTCACCCTTTGTTTCTCCCCTTTCAAGGCGTTTCGACAATAAATCCATTATGATCTCATCAGAAACCAATTTTCCTTGATTAACAATTTCAGCAAGCTGCAGGAGAGAAAAAAATTAATCATCAACCAAATTGTAGTGCCGGGGTAATATAGAAAACATGTTTATGGCAAAAAGAAAAGGAAAAATTCAGTGATACAGATTAAGCAAACTACCTTTTCTAAATGTAGTCCTAATTTTTTGAAAGGGTTGTCTGCCAAGATGTTGTTTAGAAAAAAACTTCCTTTAGTAAAGAATTGTTTTGATACTAGTATTCAGAGCAAGATCTGGTGCAACTTTTGTCACACACAGAATAGCTTTTTCACGTTCATCATCAAATAGTCAATTCTAGATTATGCATTTAGCAGGATAGTCCATGGGACCAATATTGTCTGCCATTCTAGACGATTACTGCTCTGATACTATATAGAATCTATATGCTTCGGAAAATCCCAAACACTTTCCACCCACAGACTTACACAAGATATCCAATCCTCAACAAACGAAGCGGAGTGTTCTAATCAACCAAGACTAAGGTATCAAACTTCACCAACCAACCAGCACCTCACATGTTACGTAGGATTTCCCTCTGATAATTTAAAAGTCTCGGATAATCCGGATCAAGAATGAGAAAAACACAAGCTATTATGGTTCCATCATTCTGCCAACAACAAGCCTTCTATTATCATAGCCATCACATCGTTCTACATTTTGATCAGATCCAGAAGGATATTTGAAGACTTGGTACGGAACAACGTGATTTCCTTATAATTTCCCTCCCGTGCTTCCACTTCTCATACTCCTCTGTACTGCTGGACTAAGAATATACATGACAACATTAATGGCAAGGGGTATCTAAAGGAATTGGACAACGGAATAACTCCACGGCTTTGTGTTCTTAGTTCTTACCCAGAACAGTCAAGTCACCCTAACACAATCTTTTCGACCAAGCATCGTACCAATGGAAACCGACATAATAATCGTTTTCCATTCGAACAAGAAGCACTAGACGAACCACATTTTTGCTCGCAAGGACCATCTCCGAGGCTTGTCATCGAATCCTTAGGTCGATGGGAGCAAGAAGAGGCTGAGAGGTAACCTGTTGAGAGAGAGGGCCGGAGGAGGCGAGCTCCTCGCGGACGAGGTCACCGGTGGCGATGTGGGGGACTCCGACGAGCTGGGAGAGCCGGCTGGCGTAAGTGCCCTTCCCGACCCCGGGGCAGCCGAGGAACACCCACTGCACGTTCCGCTCGAGGGTCTGCTCCGCCGCCAGGGCGGAGAGCCCCCTCCTAGCCGCCGCAGCGGCCGGAGAGAAGGCTGCGGCGGCGGATCTGAGGAGGCGATGGACGATCGCCATCGAGGGAACGGAGCGCGAACGGTTAGCGGCGGCGGCGGACAGCGGATGAAGAGAAGGAAGGCAGGCGGCGACCTCCTCCTTTTATCTACAGTGAGATCGAGAAAGCAACGTGACAAGCACGTGACTTGAAGCGTAAAATGGCGTGTGATTACCACGTGTGTAGCCCACTGCATGTCTGAGCCCGTTAACAAGCCTCGATCAGAGCCGTACACAATACGCCCACAATTACATGGGCAAAAAAGCCCAAACTTTTTAGCCCATTAGCCCATTAGGCCTCGATCATACTTTCATAAAATTATAGTCCTCTCTCTCTCTCTGTGTGGTTAGAAAGAACTCGAAGTTTAGAGTTAATCATATTGAATTGGTAATCAAAATTGATATTAACAATTAACTCGAGGTTGAGTCAAAGTTAAATTAACCATCGAATATGATCCAAATCCGGTGTAATCATAATCTATAGGGACAATATTACTTAACCATGGTCTGACTCCTCGATGACACAGCAATGATGACCGGTTCTTTGTGGGGCCGGAATGACATGCGGCCTCTGCAACGATCCAGAGTCGGATGTGGGTACGTGTCAAATCATCGTTCGATAGGAAAGAGAGAGGGTGTTGTGTGGGATCAGTATTCCACAAGCTTTGGATGTGGAGGTCTTATCCTCATTCGCTCTCTCCCTTGCTTGGCACGAAAGCGAGGGGACAGCCCGAGCACAAGAGGATAAAACCGAATCAACCTGAGATCAGCTAAGCCTCCCGTCGTTTGCCTGCGTTCAAGCTACTTCTCAAGGTTCCCATTGTCTCCCATGGTGGCTTCTCCATTGAACCTTCTCTGAGGGTTGATAAATGCATGGTGAAGTGGAGGCGAAGGCACAAAGCAAGGCGTTCGGGAATGGAGGCTTCCTTCTTGCCACAAGGCAGGCGTGGGGGCATGGATGAGGAGGAAGACCTCGAGTCCACCATGTCTTCGTCCTTGTGTGGTGAAGAGGGTGATTCTGATGAGGAATCGAGGGAGGATGCGTCATCTTGCTCCTTCTCTCCGCCGTCATGCACGCCGTCGTCGGATGATCAAGTCGAAGAGGGGCCTCTCTTCGAGATGTCTTCCCTCATTTCATTGCTTCCTGTCAAGTAAGTTCCACCACCACCACCACCCTCCACTCCGGTAAAGAAATCATGGTCAGCTCCTGAAGAGAACGAATAATGCATGCCAAAGAGACCGTACAAGAAACCATTCATCATGGCATACTCATCAACCTTTCTACCAGCATAAATGACCTCTAAAGCCATATAACCATGAATGAACCATCGACATTTCAATTCTCGCAAGGATGAAGGAAGTCAGTGTCAGCTCTCATGAATTTATTTGTGGATTATAGGAGAGGGCTGTCAAGGCATTTTGAAGGGAAGTCACAGTCCTTCACATCTCTTGATAAAGTGAGGTGCATGGGAGATCTTGCCAAGCCTGGGAGACCATCCAAGAGAAGACTCGGATCTTGTAAGAGCTATGGAGGAGGATTGAACAGCAGCCACAAAGCAGCACTGTCTCCTATGTCTTCCTCAAGAATCATCACAAAGAAGGCTTCTTCTCTCCTAAGTGCAAGGAGGCACAGAGATCGAGAAGCCTCTCAGGACAGACATTTTTGTTTGCTCAGCGGTTTGAAGAACAATGGACTTGAATAGCCACAAACACTACAACCCATGTCAGATCGATGGTGGTGGAATGCTTGTAATCTTTGATGTATTTTGCCAAAGACTACACAGCAGCAATAATAATAAAGAAGTTTATGGATATATCTTTGTCAGATAATCTCATGTTGTAATATGATTGCTTGTGATGGCCAGTTTCTTTTGGAGAAGGGAAATAGCAACACATGGGAGACAAAATAATTAAGCATGAAGAGTAGGAGTGTTTGATAGTTAAACTTTTTAGAGAAGTACTACTATGAATTAGATACTTGTTTGTAGAGGTACAATGATGAGTAGTGACCCATAATTAGGTTCATGTACTCATGGCATACATTATGAGAATGAAATCATAGTTTTTGGTTGGATTTGGTAGGCAAATGAAGTTTCATCATTTTGTTGATATGCCATGTAATATGTATGGGCTTGATACAAAAAAAAAAAAAAAAAAAAAAACTGATTTATGATAGATTTATCTATTTCACAACTCTCAAAAATTACAATACACATTTTGATCATTATATTCTAGTTTTGATTTATCTTTTTTAGGGATCACATTAAGTTAGTTCGAGACATTATAGCAAAATCATATTGGCCTATGTTGAATCCGAGTTGATTGTAGCAAACCATGCTTAGTCGGGTCGGGTCGGGTGATAACAAACATAGTCGAGACACTCAATAGGTGATTTCGGTCCAAGCGATGATTACGATCGAAATGAATCAGATTGATGATCGTTAAGGTTACTATGTAAAAGAGATGTTATATCTCATATTTCCTACCATACAAAAGGGATTTTACATTTGTGTAAATCTCATAATTTATGAGATTGATTTGATTATTTTTACCCTATAAATAGGGTTGTGACGTACACAACAAACAAAATAATCAAATATAAAGTTTATTCTTCATCATCCAAATTCTCTTTTTTATCTTTTGATATGGCCTAATTAGATATTTCTCGACCTATTGTTATGTTATTATTTTTAATGGATCCAACTACACTCAATAGGTGAAGCTTTTTGAAGGGGATTGGTGATGTTTAATCATCAATTAAGGATGATTTAGAATCCTCAAAAAGTATATAAGAATAGTATTGAAGAGTGAGACAATCAATCATAACCATGAGATTATTAAATGGATCACTAATAATACCTTACTTAGTTGCATTGATTAATATCTTTCCGTCATTTTGATATAACTAAAGATCCTTTGGAATTTTTATCTATTCATTATGTTTCTAAATATAATAAATACAAGTTCTTCCGTATGCGTGAATGGTTGAAACAACATCACCAACTTGAGAAGATAATGACAATTAATCCTTTTTCCATGATAGAACACATGTAATGCATACGTATTGGAATGATTTTAAGGATCATGCGACTTACTACATGTCACGTCCAAGCTAATTGGTTTGCATGCTAACATCATTCTCTTCAGCCTACCAAATAATTTGTAGGAACAACGGATATATGATTTGGGTAAAGGGATCCCTATCACTTTTCTCTCACTTCTTCTTCGTATCATCTAATTCTTATACCATGCATTAGTAATCCTTTTTCAAGATCTTGTGGCACTAAAACTAACATATTTAGGGTTATATATTACATGACTAAATGATCAGAGATACATAAATAGTTAGGTAATCTCTTGTGCAAGTAACACGAGGAATAGTTATTTCATTATGTTGCTATGAGCTACATCATGTATCATAAATGCTCTTTACCATATTGTTGCTTGAATCTACACGATGACAAATGAATTCATAGTCTCTTATAGGTTTAGGTATATGAGATGAGCAATAAATAGTATACGTTCCACTTGTGTAAGTCTTGTTTAACGAAACATAAAGAGTGTATGAATGATACTATTCGACTTTCCACAATGATTTCACACTAAACATAGAATAGGCGGTCAAAGTAGCTTATCACTTACCCATTTGTTATCACTATCCATATGTAGGGTATTATTTGATGATAGCGTATGACTTATTGGAGATACTGACCTACTACATGATTCATAATGTACTTTTTGATACATGACCATATCGTGTGACATATGCTATGCAAATGAGTCACTTGGTCTAGATGGGCTCATGATTTACGTTGCATGTATATCTAACTCATAAAAAAATATGCCTTAAAAGAATTATTATATCATCTTTTGAAGCATACTTACCCTAATACTTTCAACCCAATGAAAAGCTAAAGACATTGTATATGTTTCCTTATAAGAATGCAAGGCCAAAACTAGAATAATTAGTTTTTATAGATTAATTATTATGTAATTTAGTTCATAATTAATCAAACTCGTAAGACATTAATAATACAACTCAATCCATAATCAATTCAAGCATAGATATTCAAGACTATTCAATAGATTGATTATGTAATTCAATCCATAATCGATCCACCGATCTTCCACTTAACACTTTAAAAAAATTTAAAGATAATCTTATGAGCAAACCACAGCTTAGTAAACATCGTGACTTATATGCTAATCAAAACTTTATCATAAATAAATATTTTTTAAAAAAATAAAATAAATATATTTTTTATATAAACACATGCCTTCCAAATATGCATAACTATCAAATACTTTTTCATGCTTTTAAAATTTACAAAACATTAATTTCATGTGCATTTCAAATCATGACTTTCTAAGAATATTTTTCAAAGCACAATAAATATAAATATATTTTCATAATAAAAGCATAAATATAATTAACAACACATATCAAATTGTAAAATATTATAATGCAAATACTATCACTAACTTTTTACAAATAAGTATGGCTAAGACTTTTAAGGATAAATATAAAACAAAAAAATCATACTAGGATCAATGACTACATCATGGTGTATAGATAACACACATATCCATGTGTTAGAGTTCAAAAGAAACTAGTTTCTCAAATAAATATCATTATACAACCCCAATAATAAGATCCATATCATAGTCATACTGAATAAACAACTATTATGTCACTGAAAATAGTATATACGGAATTAATTAAGAGTTTAAACAAAACCTTTTTTCTTATGTCTTTTTTAAAGCTGATGCAATCATATATCCTTTTTCTAATTCTTTCAAATATAATGCTGGACAACCATGTTCATTTAAATTTTGAGACCATAAATTAAAAAAACTTACGTATAAAATAATAAATAATAGTTTAAATCATATGCTTTTCTAAATGGTAAACATTTAAATCTTTTTATAATATTTTTAAATAATAAAATAACTTTTAAATTATGTAAATCATATGTGTTTATAAATATCAAATATGTGCATTAATACTTTTAAAAATATATTAGACGGAGTCTACCTTGATATAATATTAATATTCTAATATTTTATTTCTTTATTCTTCCAATATCACTAAAAATATCCAATTAACTAAAAATTATCATGATTCATCAATTTTATAATGCAAAATATAAATTTAATTAGTGGGAATACAAAAGAGTTCAAAACCACATGTAATATAAATTTTTTTGAACTTAATCTGAATCCAATTGTTGTAACCACTCTTTAAAGTCAAAATGATTTCCTACACCATTTAAAGCAAGAGTTCGAGAAGCGTCAAAGTTCAAGAAAAAATCACCGTAGAAATTCTTGATAATAATGATTGAAGGTACGCTATTTCGTTTCCGCATCAGTTTTTATTATGTTTCTATTATAATGATTTAGAAACATATTTTGGTATAAAAATTTCTTACACTATAATCCATTTTTCTGGCTTTAATGCACCAGGAAGTGCCTGCGGACAATCTCCTGACCGATATCCATGAATTCTACCATCTGGTGCAGAGCAATTCTACCATTTGGTACTTGGGAGGATGAGCTCGGCTCCCATCGCTCTGGCCAAGTCTGGATTTATTTGTCGTCGGTCGTCACGAGGATGGATCCTCACGGTTGGACCGCCCTTTGCAAACTCGTGTATCTCGTGAACGTGCGAGAAGAACTCCTCCTCTGCCAACGTTTGTCCATCCACCACAAGAAGAACCAGCTCTGCTGATCCCACTTCCGCCATTGCCGACTCTTTTAACCGTTGGAGGCTCTGCTTCGTGTTCGAGAGACTCTGAAACTAGTTCCGGCGCCGCTCATCACCGTCGCCTTCGGAGAATACACATCTGAGCAGTTCCGTGGCACATACAGCCATGCTCTGGCCGCAAAACGTCTCGATGTCGTGTCATGGTTAGAGATCGCCTTGGCGAGACTGTCTTGCCAGTACCTCCCGTCCCGATGATTGCAAAAACAAGAAGCTCCTCTTCCGTTTTTTTTGTTATAAATAAAAGTATAAAAGTATACATTTTTTATTAACCTCATAGTTCTATCAATTTTTTTTATTTTTTATCATATTTTTTTTATAAAAAATAACATAATATTCTTTTTTCATTAGTTATAATATAAGATTTTTTTATTTTAAATTAAAAATAAACATCACATCATCAATAAAATTTTTATAAAATTTGATGCCACAGTTCCCCAAAAACCAAACATATCTAAAATATTCTTCATCAATGCTAAAAAAAAATTAATTTAATTTTCTTCGTTAAATTAATCATTAATTTTACAATAATTTTCTAATTCATTTTTAATTATTAATCTCCAAATATTTATTTATTTTCAAATTTTCTCTCCCTCCTAACGAAAATAACTTGTATTAATATTTTGGTAGAACAGCCAAGTCTTAATCCATATACTTTTGGTAAAGATAACTACAAAAAGCAACCCACAAATAAGATCAAGGAGCACATCATATTATGAATTCACCATTGCAGTAAATCTCACATGATACATACATACTACGGTTTGATTTTGAATTATATTAGTCCTCGGTACCGAATCTCATGCATCAGGCTATTATTCAATTTCACACTATGCAATCATTTAATCTCATGCAATATCTTTATCAGAATATCAAGTCCCTAACTGGTGAGTATATATATATATATATATATATATATATATATATATATATATATATATATATATATATATATTCTCTTCTCGGAATTGGATCAAATTTATCGATCACAAATCTCGAAAAGGATTTTTTTATCAAGGGCTAAAAAGATAAAATAGTAAATAGTAAATTACACAGAGAGGTGAACTAAACCTGCAAGCAGAAAAGAGTCTGCTACAAATCGCATGCGGTTCCAAAGATATTAGACTTGTTCAAGGCGTTGCGTGCTAGTGCCGAATACAACAACAAATTGCACAACTCAATAGTTATGAGCATAGATAGTTACATGATTTAGTACCATGCAGATCAAGACTTGCAAAATGCATCTGGGTATGCTGAAGCCAAATATATATATATATATATATATATATTTGTGACCAGAGATGATTGACCTTGCAGATGTCATCCCTCAGGAGTAACCCCTTGGATGGAGTACGCATGCTGCGAAACCTGGAAACATCACAGCAGTCCAAGAGATGATTGTTACTGGAATTGGCAGGTTGAGATTTCATGAGATGTAAAGAAGAAAAAGAACATGAATTCACTAAAATAAGCTACAATATTTATCATAATCTGGATCAGACTTAGTCATCATCATCGAGAGGGAGGGAGCTAATGGTTTGCTATGGTATTGTGATAAATTATGTTATATTCATCTTGAATGTTCCATCTATGAATAGCACTCAGATGGAGCCACATGCTGTACATTCACTATAATTCATAGTAATGCCAGACAAAAAGGGTAAAATAGTATATAATCTTCAGCAAAGAAACTCCCCAAAATGCATTTCATCATGCAAAATTAGATCGGTCATGTGTCGGATTCTCCCAGACATTAGCCTTTAAATCAGAACATATGAAAGGAAATTAGATCACTATGTACCATCATTCCTTCCCTAGATTTTAACAATAGAATCAATTGTACTAGTGTGAGATGATAACTTCGCAATTCCTCAATCTGCATATACCATTCATCATATATGCAGACAATTCTGATTTCGTAGAATAAAATAGAAGCAACCAATAGCAAAGCAGAAATCATGGTTACATAACATACCATTTCAAGTTGCTTGAAGTTCAAGAGGTCTATGCTATGGCCTCAGCCCCTTGTTTTCCCATCTTATGCACATCTTCAGGAGAAAGTATTTTGATATACCAGACATTATTCACAAATGATCTGCATTAAAAGCCAAATGATAAGCAACAAAACATCTGGAATATGTACATTAATATATAATCGACTTGTTCAAACACTAGGACCACGGAGTTGATGCATGTTCTAATAATCAAGTTGTGCCAGTCACTCAAGTGCACCATTCAAAAGTTCGAGAAGCAGGCTTTTTCTGTCATGAAACTGCACCATTTGAAAGGTAGAAGGATGTGCTCAGAGTTGACCAGTTACACCAGTCCATGCAAGCATTAAGCAGTAACACAAAGTTCCCCAATTTTGTCCTAATATTCTTTTTGCTTGTAATACACTTATTCATGCAATGGCTGTTACAGAAACTTTAGGTCACCATAGTAGCATATTTCACAGCGAGAACACCTATGTTGAAACATTTAACGTGTGCTGATGCTCCTGTTAGTCCAACTATATTTTATTTTCATGCGAGAAGAAAAGCAAATTAACATAGAAATGTCTTAAATATTATACGAGGGAACTGCAAACCAAGAAGGTTTGCTCCTAAGGCCTAATAGTACAAATGCATCTACTAATTCTATGATGGAGGAACAAAGGCAAATTCTTGAAAGGAAAGTCATCTTCCTAGGATGACATTTGAGTTTTTGTCTTCGGGCAATCTTCCTTTTTCCTTTCATGGCCTTAAAAATGGATTAACAAAATCTACTTATTGCTTCCTACTTCAATGGCCACTGGCATCTTACTGGTTCTTGAAACATCAAAAAGGTCCCAAGCAACAAGCTTTTCTTAAGTTCATGAGACAGTCATCCTATCACAAATCAGCGTAAATAATACCTATGAACTAGCTTTGAAATGGAATACAAGCCAATGATATATCCAATCAATTCTTAAGCTTCTAAATTGAAAATGAACAAAAAAAGCTTGGAAGGATTCCTTACTCCCAGGGGTCATCTCCAAGGAGAAGCACATCGTTCTCCCTGTCGACAAATACAAGCTGCCAGCCTGATCTACGAGGATCTTCCAATAGACCCTCAATTCCAAACATATGACCCAGTTCCACACGCAGTTCATCATAGTTGTTGAACCGGGATATGTCCAAAGACCTCCCCACTGATCCGGACTTGTAGACCTGCAAGGGCGAACACACCTGACAGGCATCTAACACACACACATGTAGTAGATTTCGCCAAAACTGTAGCTCTTACCTTCACAAATGTTTGGGATTGTGGACCAACCTCTCCTGAATTTTGCAGTAAGCTGGAGGATTCATCCAAATATCCATAAAGAGAGTTCTGAATGCAGGAAGCAACGTACGGTGTGGCAGATGCATCACCAACGGTTGCATGCATGGTCAAGCTTGGATCTGCGATGGATAGGAGAGAGGGGGCCTGACTCTGGGTACCGGGACATTTTTTATTTCCGCCAGAACTATCCTTCTCTGCAAATGAAGGCAGCAGAACTCCAGGTCCAAAAGGAGTCACCTGAGACATAATTCGTCTTGGCCCCGGTGACTGCTGGCTCTGTTTACTGACCATGGATTGACCAAGTTGTGAACAGTTAAGAGGGTTGGAGTTTCCTTCGGGGTAAGCAGATCCCAGGATGCCCTGGACAGAACTCGAAGGCGCAATGGATGAGAAGACCAAGCATGGATCAGGGAAGTCCGGCTTGTCGTAAAATCGAGAAGGCAAACTAGACGGTTGCTGAACATGATTGTTAGGAACCTGGAATGTGTCTGCATAAGCATGTGTGTGTTGCACCTGCTGCTGCTTTTGCTGTTCGTTTGCTAACTGTTGCAACTGCTGGTGCGGAGCAGAGTTTGGTTGGCTCTCCAGTAGACGCGGTGATTGTGAACCGATGGCCTGCCGTTGGGGAGTCTGCGGAAAATCTTGACCGTGAAACGAATGGCTGGTCGTGCCGGGCTGCTGAAGAAATTGGAACGGCTGTTGACTCTGTAAAAACTGTTGTTTCAGAATGTCCACCCCTCGTAGGTCCTCCAAAGCAGCAGCGGACATGGCTTGGTACTGATTGAGCTCGTTCCCTAGCAGCAATGGTTCCAGCCTCTGTGGCATCCAGGATCCTACGCCGAGTGATGGCAAATTGAAGGGATGCAGGCCTTGTTCACCAGTGCCACTCCTCGGCCACATGACAGCATTTAGCTCGTCTTCTTTGGTGTCTGGGGAACACACAGCATAAAACTGTTCAAGCTATTTTTGATATGAGCCGATTCTTATGATTCCACCATCACTGATAACTTTAGCAAGTAGAAGCATGTGCTCCTAAGTTCAGATAGTCAAAAGTAAGGATCTAAATATCAATCAGACCAATACACATTGACTGTTGATCTGATCAAGGATTAATATGAAAACTTATAGCTAATAGATTATCGAAATCACTATAAAAAAATGCATTTAAATTCTTAGCTTGAGAGCTACTGAAGACAACATTTGGAAGACTGCAATGCAGGATGAATAAAATTCCATAAAACTTAACCGAGGATATATGAAGATGCTCCGTCTAATGGGTCGTGCAACTTCTACACTCATAAAGATGCTTCATGAAAGTAAGATTACCTAGAAATTAAATAGGAGCCGATAAAAGAATGCTAGATTATGCTGTCTCTACGTGCCATTCGATTTATAAAAAAAAGCACTAAAAGCAGCACGAGGCAAATATCACATGGAAAGAAACTCAGATGCCTGTGAGGTCGAAAGATAATACCATGGGGAAAGGGGGCATGCCAAGGGCGTTTAAGCCTGAGCGGAAACAACGATGGATACATGGGAAATGTTGTTAGAGGCTCAATTTCCCACAGTGACACTCTTGGCTGCCTCTCACCTGCTGTTGATTCATCCCAGCCAACCTGCAATTACTAGAATGTTACATATTAGTTCAATAACAGCTAAGAAATCAAAACAACTACCAACTTGTATTCTTTAACAAAAAGCTCACATAGTAATCCGCCAGTAAAAAAAAAAAAAAACCAAAAGCGGTGTAATCGATGCAGGATGGACGGCAGGAAAATCGTTGGTACATAGTCGTCGCAAAAGTGACAACACATGACAGCATGAAAGGATGTGAATTTTCTTTTTTTAATATATTTTGAGATATTTTCTTATCTATTATAAAAGTCATGGAAATCCCTATTCAAACATTTGTCATCACAAAAGATAGATATATATAAAACCACAGAAGCTTTTCTTATCTTGTGTGTTGAATAGTGCTTTTCATTGGATCACTTTTCACCAGATAGTGATAAGATATATCACAAAAGGTATCCAAATATCCTTAGATAAAGTGATTGATATGTAGTATTTTGCTAAACTCCAGCACATGAGCCATTACGTTATCATATACATAAATAAATCAAAATATATGAAACTGGGAGCAATGGTAAGACATGTGATTTCAAGAATAATCAATCTAGAGGATGCTTAAAAGCTTCATGAATTACAGTGAAAACATGACATGGAAATGTGCAGGTATGAAATGGATATGTAGATATACTAGTATAGAGGACACCATAGTATGAAATGGATATGTAGATATATGGATACAATTACGCAAATTCAACTAATATTTCAGTGAGAAACAAAAGGAACAGACCTTGTTCCACTACGTGATCCAGAAATTCATACAGTAAATAGCAACTACGGTATACTATTTACCTTGACTGATCTCCAATGGGAATTCGGCCAACGTACGGGATCCATATCACTTAAGCCAGTAATTGTTCCCATGTACCTTTAAATTAAAAACAATTAAAATATGATTAATCCACAGGAATCAAATGACCGAGCTGAAAACTACAGGTATGTCACACAATAACCACAAGAGGACGTTCAGAATACTTAATTATGATTAATTGTATCACCTGCGAACACTACATTCTTCAGTCTCAAAAAGCATCCGGAATCGCATGCCAACCGACACGCGCGTGTGAAACACAGCTTTTAGATACTTCGAAAGCGGTATCACGAACTCAGATGGACTTGCCCTAAGGATATTAGGACCAGGAAAAGATATTAAAGAACATTGGAGCATGTATAAAGAAAAGATCATTGGAACGTAAATAGGATAAAGTTAACAATGGCAACCACCTTGGATTGTAAAATACGGTAAAACGACTGTTTGTAGCGGCAGCATGAGCTGCCGCAGCGAGAAGCCCTATGTGCATGCTGTCACTTGATAAAACTGATGATGGCATCACCGTTTGGGGTCGATTAGCACGTCTAATTCCCAACAAAAGCTGGTTCTTTTCATTCCTAAATAGGAAGCACAAAGTTAAACATTCACCATGAGAAGAAAAGAAGAGAAGGCTCAATCTCAACACCATGCATTAAGCAAACCAGATAAAAAGAACAGAATCCCCAGCAATGAGTCTCTTGGCACTAACGAACACACTCCAGCCTGTGGTAAGCAGATGCCTTTTCGGTTGGCCTGGTGTCACAAGATGAAACATAAAAGAAGCTTTAGTAAGAATTCAATTTGTTCTAAGCTGAAACAAACTGGACTGGCTATCAATTTGTTCTAAGCCACCTCAACTGATATAACATTGCTCATTGTTGGGGCAATTGTGGAAGTTATCCTTCAATAAATAAAAAGACAAGCTGTCAAATCTGACAAATAAATATGACCAAATGCCTAGTCAACTTTTTTTTTGTGCGTAAAAGGGAATTACTGTACATGATCGAGGACATTGTCCGTATATTAATCATCAAATTGCAATCGATGGCTAATGGCTTATCTGTCATTTACCTGCTGTTTTTTTTTAAAGTAAAAAATCCAACTTTCTTCCTTGGTCAAAAATGCATCTTACTGATCTAGAGAAGAATGCTGGAACTGCAATTAAGCTCTTCTGAGAAGTTTCCATGAGTTATTGGAAGGATACCTGTCGGCTACTGTTAAAAGGCACAAGAAAAACGTGTGGTTTTGGCAGGTACAGGTGCTAGTGACAGGAATTGACAAGTAGACAACCAAGAAAGGGGCTGCACCCTTCTATTGAGGCACACAAGTTTTATGATGCTTTAAGGGTCAACGGTCCATAAACCACATTAAATCAGCTATTATAGGCAGAATTTTCAAGAGAATATTTTAAACTGGATGAAAACAGTAGATATGTTTCTGCTTCAAGGAAAATTGATTCTCTGTTGTAGAATTGAGTTTGCTTACAAGAATAAGATCAAATGTAGGTAGAAAATAGTGTTAATTGTATGAAGAGAGGTTCTAAATCAATTACATCACTATACAGCTGACAACAGCCTCATTAAAATTTTTTAAAGGAAAGAACTTAGTGTCAAATTATCACACTACCACTATAGCATACCACAGAAGAACCATAATCTCGAAGAACAAGTTCTATAGGAAACTGGTCTTTGACAAATAGCCCTAGGGGTCTTTCTACTGTATCTACAAATCAACACATATCTTTGTAGATCTCTCAGCTTTTTCAATGAGTTCTGGGAATGCAAATATTAATTAAATTCAATACAATACTAGTACGCTAAACAAGGATAAATTATGAAAACAGAGCACTCCAATATCAATCAATATGAACACATTATTTGTTCAGTGTTCAACATAAGAAGCATGCTCTTGCAGAACCATTATGTAATATTGTGAACTTAAACATTTCTATGTGCAAAATCAGCATAACATGCAAAATTCTGATTATTAGAGGCACAATTTCAATAATGTGGTAGTGGAATGCTAATGGCTTTATCTCAACTCAAAAATTGGAGATAATGTATTTCTTCTTGCATGGAAGTCGAAACCTGCTGCAGGAAACGTATCGAGAGAAAAATTTATCTTGTTATCATAATCAAAACAAGCAAAGGTATGAATGTCGATGTTTATTTTTTACTATAATTTAATTACCAATTCAAAACAATTGATATCTGGTTTCTGCACGATCTAGCACTGGTATATATACAAATTCACAATTGGAGTTTAAAGCATTTTCAAATCTTAGACCAGATACAATTTGAATTCATTATGTTCCATGATTAGAATTATGTTTTAATCCCATTTCTAAGACATGATAGAAGGATATTCCTGAGCCTACTTCAATTTACTTGACTCTTTAGGACCAAGAAGTTTCCTGTTGGCCCTGTAATAACCAAGATGGCAGGCAAATTAGAAGGACCACTCTTGAACTCACAATATCTGTGAACTAGAGAAAGCCAGCCCTGCATGCAGGAATTGGAAACTAGCGTTACATGAAAGTGGCTACAACTTCCATAGAAAACTAGCATTACATCCACAGTAGCATCAACCGATCCATCCTTTCCTACTGCAAATCCCAATCAACATGTCTAACATGCTATTTTCAACATGACACGCTTGAGTTGTTAATCTCTCTGCAGACAATCGATGTTCTCTATGCTCTTTTCCTCCACCAGACTCTTGTGTTAGAGCACCATAGCTTCACAAGAGTTACACCCACCAAGACAACTTGGCCACAGACCAATGCTTCAAGTACTCCTAACTCAAAATTTCCAGAGACTTGAGTGGAAATTTTGGTCAGGCCAGGACTTGTTGGTCAGGTTATTCTGTCGATTACTACCTCAGCAGAATATATTGGTTCTTATTCGTTTTCTGCACCAAATAAAACCTAAGAATGCCAACTGAAATAGCTCACCTCGGTAGATGTGCCTGAACTTCCACTCAACGTCGTGAAGGTCACGAGCAATCAGCTCTTGAGCTGGAGGCTGCAGCGAGAAATCCTGAAATCCAATGAAGCAGCACCTTTGCTTGAACTTTATTCCCTGGCGCTTCCAATAAATTGCCATAAGAAATGTATACAATTTGATTTTGACCAACGCACCAGAGGAGGAAAGACTTTCTCGGCTGCTCGACGAGGCACAGAAAACCCTCCGTGTGTACTCGTATCGCTCGCTGTCAGAGTCTTGCAGAAGTAATTGGTTGGCTGCTTGCTCACAACGCCCATCTCGATAGGGAAATAAGCATCTTTCTGTTCTTGCTGCACACAATTCTAGTCATAATTACTTGCAAGATCTTGTGTTGAGAAAACCATAGTTGCAGCGTTGAAAGTGCAAGTCTCATCAGATTTACCAGGCTCAAGGGCTGCAAAGTCATCTGCGCATAGACTTCATCGGTTTCTACGTCTGCCTGTAATTTGCACAGTCACCAACCAACCATTCACCAAATCTTGAAATCCTCGGACAAGGAAGAAAATTACTGCAAGAACTCACATGCATTGTGACATTGTGGAGCTGGCAAAACAACTGAGGGGGCAAGCTCGGGTAATTAGGAATATGGCCCTCCACTTCCTTGTTTGTCGACGCCGCAACCTTAATTAACACCAGCGGTAAGTTTTAAGAAAAATACAGTAATTAACATTCGACTTCTTGGGGGTGGGTAAGGGGAGGAACAAGCGTAGTCAAAGATCGGATCTTTCACCTGCTCGCTATGGCCCTGAGGAAAGTAGACAACCCGAGTACCGGCTGTCGGCAGGCACACAAGTGGTCCGGCGCAAGCGTGCCAGAGCTCCGAATTCAAGCATCTCTTCTCCTCCCCTGGTTGGAACACACCGCGAGGACCACGGTCATTTATCCGGGGCAAGAGCATAAGACCAGGGTGCAAGATAAAAAGGCGAGGCAAAGACGATACCTTCTGGTGCTTGCTGGCTGATGCCTACGGTGGAAAGCTTCATCTCTTTGGACTTTCCTATGACGAATCAATATCTTCGCCCCAACTCCATTAACCGCGGAACCATGACAAGAAGTAGGGCTCGGGGGAACACGGCGAGAACCAAACTAGGGTTTCAGAAGATCGTCAAACTGCGGGAGAAACCAAATCGCACCCCTAACTCTCAGAAGTAGCAACTAGGGAAGCACTGGGGAAGTGAGGAACGTCGACCACAACTCCCTGCTCAGAACCCAAGAACGTCTGAAACCGACGCGTTCTTTGGAAGAAAAGATGCGATCTCAGATGATCGGAGCTATGAAAAACCGCCAACGACAAGGAAGAAGCCGAGGAGGAAGCGCATTCCTTTGTGGTTTTGGGAGGAGGAGTTATCCGAGCTCGGAGAAGCTCTCGTTCTTCGAGATCGCCATGGGAGTCCCCCCTTCTCCACGAGCTCTCCAAGAATCTCTGAACCCGAAACAGTAAAAGAAGAGAGTGGGCAGCGATGGATGGAGTGACGATGCTACCCAAATCAAATCCACGCTGATAAGATCATATTATTACTCACTCGAGAAACAAAGAAATTAAAAACACACACGCAAATAGCTACCCTTCTATTTCAATCGCGTAAAATCATTTTATGAGTTTGCCGCATAATGTATCATATGCTGTACCAGAATTTTACCGGTGGATTATAACGTTTACGAATCTCAAAGAAGAAGCTTTTCATATCCAACGGTAGAAATATTCACCGCACTCGATTGTATCTGCGGTTCGTCCAGTTCGACGGTTCTCCGTCCTCGACCGAACTCTCCGGCTCTGACGTCACAGTAGCGAAAACAGCAAAGCCTTTCCGGTCTTTTTTGACTTCACTCGTCCGCCCTTACCTGCCTTGTGATTGGAGAAACCGGGGGACCACTGTGGGACCCACCGGATCGGCTCGTGACCGAGCAATCGTAAATCGTTAGGAAAGGTTTTACTCGATAAAAAAAAGCTAAGAAAATAAAAAGGCCACCGGACTGCGTACGAGTTACATTGCCGCAATCCGAACCGTTGAATTTTTCTATGTAAATATCCACCGTTCATCGCGCATGTGCGACCTTGCCCCAGCTACTTTTTCTTTTTCCGATTAATGAGGGCTATACCCACGCATGGTACATGAGCGCTGAGGTGGGGCCCGCGAGGGGCACAGAGCCGGAAGTGACATCTGTGATGTGACGGGAAGTCTGTGCCTGCGCGTAAGCCGTACGCGTAAGAGCACCACGTGGGCACGTCGCACCGGTCTTTTCTCAATGGTCGCTGTCGGTCCGTACGACCGCAGAGCCTCCGCTTAAGTTTCCCTATTACGAAGACGCCCCTCGCTTTGGAGAAATTGACGGAATTGGGGGGGGGGGGGGGGGGGTGCTACAAACACCACGCGATGCCGTCCTCTGCGGATGGGCCGACGACGACAAAGGGTGGGCCCCGCTACCGCACGAATTATTGCGCTGCCAAGCGGGGTCCGCCGTGTCCGGGGAAAAGCTGCTCGGCCGCGGCGCGGTGAGGTTACCGCCCTCTCGTCTCGAGGCGCACCGAGTTGCCCCGTACGGGGACTGGACCGGGTTCACGTGGGCAGCAGGGCCGGTCCGGTCCTGGGGCGCAGCGAGTCAAGGCCCTGTGCGGCCCGTGCACGCCCGCTTCCCGTCACCAGCCGGTACGCTTTCCTTCCCCCTGCGGATAAGGATGAAAGGAGCAGAGGAAAAGCGTGAACAGTTACACGACGGTACTTGCTCGACTCGCATAAGTTGTTCCCATCGAGATAAAAATCGGAATCGGAATCGGAATCCGATTAGATTCCTCGGAGGGCGCACATGTGATGTGATGGGTTCATTTGAAAGACTAGTTAGTCTTTGGCGGGGCCCCCGGGCGAGAGAGAGAACATTAGTGGGGCCCCGTTGTATGAGGCGGCCTAATAGGCGATTCAGGTGGACCCCAAAGAACTGGGTTCCCAGACGTGTAATAGCTGTGCCTGACCGTCGTATGGTCAATGCTGACCCCGATTGGGTACGCAACTTCTCAAAGCTGAGGAATGACTGCAGCATCTCGATACACGTTATAAGACGGCCTCATCTGATTCGTTCGAACACGTAGCCACAAGCCTGCGGTGTAACTCTCCGACACCGAACAGAACTAAAAGAACTATTTGCGACGGCTTCAGGCAAATCGTAGCGGCAGAGCTAAACGGCAACGGCTCGACGAAACCGTCGACTTATTGCTTAAACGGCTACGAAATGATCCAAATCAGATCAATCGAACGGCCACGGCTTATGAAGTGGGTTAATTATATGATACGCCGATCTCCCTCTCTCCGTTACCCACCGCTGAAGCCCTCCTCCTCTCTCTCTCTCTCTCTCTCCTTTGCTTTCCTGAAACCTCGATCGCCTCGATCTCTCGCCTCGATCAGATATGCTTACACATTACTTGTATCAGTTTTCTTTTCGATGGGAGGGGATAATCACCGCCGATCATCGTCGACCTCGTGGAAAATCTCCGTTAATAGCTCCGGTGATCAGGTATTCTCCACCTTCGTTTCGTATCGGGGTCATCTTCCTTCGCCTCTGGAGATTAGGGAAGCCCTTCTCTACGCGATCCCAATTTTTCTGATTCGGGTTTTCTTTGTGTCCTGTTGGATGGAGAATGAATTCTTTGATACGGTTTTTTAGTAAAAAATCGTTGCAAATTCGAATCTGGATAGCGTTGTTTCTCCTCTGCCTGCCTTTTCTCTTTGATCCATGAGGCTCTGTGAATTCGATTTTTCATCATGATCAAAACTAGTTTAATTAGAAGGTAATTTATACCTCAAGATCATGACATGCCTATTGCGTGATGCGCTTGGACATATGCGCATGCATACTGCAAAAACCATTGGTTGTTCAGTTACTGTGTACAAATTTATCATTCACCTCCGGATGAGTCATCGATGCCATTATTTTGATTCTTGCAAATTAATCTTTTTTTCCTGGAGATGATTAATTGATGCAGAGACAAAACTATCACTTGTCAGCTGATGGATCTGTAGTTGGTTTTTTTTTTCGTCGTATTTTGTGGTGCTTAAGTCTAATTTTCTCTTCTGCTCTTACCAAAGTTCTGCTAAGAGACCTCAGTAATTAATACTAAAATCTTATCTTCTTGTTGCAACAAAAATTCCTTCATTTCTACCATCTGCTCTGCAGAAACAGACCCATTAGTTAGAATTGTTATTATACATCTATCTAATTCTGGGTTGTGAGAAACAAAGATGTTTCATGCAGTTCTCAGTCTTCATTAGTTAGAATTGTGAAGATGGATGAGCAGATTGTCTCAGCCTTAGGAGAAGTGAGAAACAGAGGAAGTCTTAAACTAATTTGTGAAAAAAATTGATCTTTTAAGGTTACTAAATGTTAAAAGATGGAAGCAGGTAGGGATCGACCTAAAAGTATTGAGTCATGTCATTGGTGAAGTTGGTACAGGCCCTACCATCACATCAAATTATGGCCTGTCATCATCAGGTACAACAAGGCAAAGTAAAGAAGCCAATTACAAAGTTTGGTCACAGTGGCTGCCTGATCGGGCAGCCGATATCGACTTTGGATGGACTGGTAGAGCAATTAAGAGCCTACTGTTGCTACACTAAACCGAGTAGAATGCCGGCTGATTTGGTCGTCTGAGGTGACGACATCTATTGGACGTTTAAATCTGTCGAAGAGAAGAAGAACCGAGGCCGGCATGGTCAAAGGTATGACGCTGTGGAAGCTAGGACTTCTCTTGTGTACTTTGGATGACTAGAGGTTTGGGCATGGAGCACACAACAAGGAGACTGTTGGGAGAATCTGCAGGTAGTATGTTTGGTGTGAAGCTAATAGCGTAGTATATTCTGCAGGTATAATAATCTCATGGAAACCAATATTTTGCAGGTATTTTACACCTAAATAGGAGCACATACGTCGGCAATTTATGGCGAGATACGATTGGTGGATGGAAAAGGATGACACTATTCTCTCTCTCTCTCTTTCATCCATCAATTACCACATGACAAGTTGTCCCGTATCATTTATGGAGTTCGTTTCTTTGTGGAAGGGCTTTCAGACCGCAGAGTGGCATACCCATGCACAGGTCTGCTGCACGTCTTTTACGCACTGACCTCGTTTCACTCGATGCTGACTTTATGGTGCAGGTGTTGGCATGTGAACATTCCACAGCTCATTTCGTTGGGGAAAGGGAGCTAAATGTGACAGGAGCATTGACCTAAAGGAATGGCATTGGACATGATGGAACTTGATGTGTTGGAAGCAATGGTATTGTGACTCGCCCACTTGTCATCAATGACACCCAACTTGGATTGTATCGAGGAGAATAATCTTGTTCAAGAACAAAGACCATGGCATCCATGAGATCATACTCTCATCATCACCACCTGTTTTCCATCTTATCTTGGGACGCAACTGTAGTCGTGCCCATACCATCAAAACCCGTGGTGGGGAGGGAGAGACCCCACGGTATGGTGAGAGGTGTCAAGAGACAAAAAGCTGAGAGGACTTTGTAGGACAAGGTTGAGGCAACAAGACAAGGAGGGGTTGCTGCTGACGGTGGGTGAGTAACATCAGACTGCTGTAAAGGCTTCTTGGTCTCTTACAGAAAGCAGTGGAGGACAGAGAGACCCCTCCAAAAGGAACCAATATGAAGTCACAAAATAGATGCTCAAATCCTAATGGGGTTCATTTCTGCCACCACCCAACACATCCCACTTTGGGGAGGTAAGGAAATCATGGTATTATTTCGCTTTAGATTCTCACCACTGCATGATCATGGATTCCATTCGCATGAACTGGCTAAAATGAAATGAGGATAATTGGTAAATAGGGTGAGTTTGATCTGTCATGGGCCACAAAAGTTCACTTGCATTTTCCTCAAGTCATTATCCTAACAATAACCAGACATGTCCTTTCACTTCCCAGGTAAATTTCACATACTCTTGGGTGCAGTGGGCGTGTTCATCATTCTCAGTTATCAACGAGAGAGGAACCAGCCAATGCCTTCTCATTGATCAAAAACACGTCAATCAAATGGACAGCCGCCTACTTGATTTGCTTAGGCATGCATTTCCTCTTGTACTAATACAGCTAAGAATGTATCACTAGCCATCATCAGTTAATTAAAAATATGCTCTCGTCCATGTCTTACAACAGGTGGTATATTCTTCAAAATGTCCCAAAGAAGGTAACTCTGCAGCTCCTATTCATTCGATCTGGTATACAGAGGCAAATTTTGGCGGAGGAATTCCCTGATATCGGTAGCAGATTTCTGTAATCTTTTCATAAAAGGATTTCTTGCAACAGATGGTATTTTCTTTTTGTACTAATCAATCTCTTCTCTTCGTAAAGATTGCCGTCTCGACTTCATTCAAAACCCAACTCCATTAGTGACAGAGTGAATACAAAGAGGTATTTCCATCGAATGTTCCTTTTTCCTTTTTAATAGGACCTTTATAATATTTATTTTCTTTTCTGGACCGGTTTGCATCTCTTATCATGGAATAGATGATGAAACAATATAGATTTGCAGTGTAAACGAACATGCTTAAATAAATGCTCTTAGAGTCGTCACAAACTAAAATATTAAGCACAGACGGTCTAAGTAATAGACAAGCCAGTTCGATTTCATATCTTATCTTAGACTGTGAAGAAAGAGCAAAACGTCCATATAATTCTCATAGCTCATAGGAGAACTCCAGATATAAATAGGAGTGACAAAGATGAAGAATATGGAAAGATACACAAGTGACAGGAAAAGAATATGGTAACTTAACATAGGGAGATAAAGTTCACGATGAAATGAAAGAATAAAACTAGAGACATGCCTCCAACTTACCTGATGAACGCTACCATGTACAGAGTGCATTATGCTTCAACAAAGGCAATCACCGGCAACAACTCCAGAAGAAAAATGAGGATGGAACTCGACCGGTTCTTCTGATGAACTCTGCCTGCTGAGCAGTTCTTGCGGCTTGTTGATTTCTTTTGGCTTCTGCCACGGCACGCATTTCCTCAGCTCTGTGCCTTGCCGTCGCTAGCTTGTTCATCAGCCTCTCATGTGAATGCGATCTCATTCTCTCTACCTCAACCTGTCAAAATGTGAATCTATCCCTTAGTTGTCCTACAGACAAGCATCATGAAACCCAAACAAAAGCCATAACATGCAAGTTTGCTATTTATCTGCAAATAGAGATGTTCAAATAAATTTTATAAAATCAGTTTATTTCAATCCAAACTGACTAATCGAACCAAAAAATAATATCTCCAACTGAAGTCATTTATAACCTTCAAATCCAAATTATTGATGAATCGGTTTAGTCGAATCGGTCCTAGACCAATTCGGTTCTAATTCGATTCAGTATGAACACTCCTATCTCTAAACATTACTTTCTTACCCGCAAATTCACTTTGCAAGGACTAATAAACATTATCATATATAGGGATTTATACCAAGTCTTCATCCATCAAGTCATGACACATCCATGAAAAGCCATGAGTTCTTTAATCTTGACTAGAATATAATCAAGAAATAAGTCACATAATAATTTAAAGATAGAAACTGTTCTGTTCTCATCATAAATGAAAATAGTTCAAATAGGTCACATGACAGTATATTTAAAGAAGAAAGAGCTTTAGGATTACTGAACCAAGTCACCTTGTTATCAAGAGGTCTTCTCACGTCCTAATATTTTTCTCAGAAATTTAATCAAGCAGATTCAGACTATAATCTCTGCTAAATCAAAAGCTGGAATTGTTAATGCCAACTTGATCATTTAATAAAGCTAGAAATACATCGAAACAGCAAGGTATACTATTCAAAAGTCTGCCGTCTTAGCAAGATAATTGACTCAATCTGCAGGGCAAAGAAGTGTGACAACTCATCCAAGACATCATCTTTATGCATCCAAATGGATGATTTATATGCGAAACAATATCTCATTTAAAATTTGAGACTAAAGAGAAAAAACAGATAAACATATTTATCAAGCAAACTGTCCTCAAACGATGTTTTCGAGTTCTCACATTTGTAGATATGAGGTTGTTGTTAGAATCAAACCCTAACATGCCTATCAAAAGTTCTACAAGAATAATTACTGTCCAAAAATTCACAAACAGTTTGAATCCCATAAGTGCAGAGCGGTGGAAATTTTATTGTTCTGGAGGTAAAAGGGTTTTGGAAAGATGTGGATGCAAGTGTCTACTTCTGAGAATATACTGAAATTATGATAATTAAATTAAGACTTGAAAGACTCATGCTCTGCTGCTACAGTTTCTCTTGTCTTGGTATTAAACAAATTAAGTTAGCTAAAGTGACTACATATAAAGAGCTATCTTTTTTTGTGAGGAATTTTAGTATGCACCTCAATCTTCCTCATCTCTGCTTCAGTTTTTGCTTTCTGATGATTTTCCCAGGCTTGGATTTTGATCTCTTCTTGTTTAAACCTGAGGAAATTATCAACATTTCAGTACCATATCCTCATGAGAGGTAACTAAAATGAAACAGATGAAAAAATTCAGAATCAACGAGTGATATCTTTAATAGACACGAATTTTTCTAAGGAACCAGTGAGTCCAATTATACTAAAATTATGAGCTACCTAGCGAGATATTTGGCTTTTTCTGCCTCCTCCCAGGCTGCAGCACGGGCTTCGATAACACCTCTCATGGACTCATCCACTCGAACAGTCTTAAGAGAAAGAGATGCATCCGTTTCCTCCTCTTCCTTGCTGGCCCAAGCAGCTATATTTGTCTTACCAAGTTGTTGGCCAAGAACCATTATTTCTCTTCTGGTTTTCTTTATGATTTCTTGTTCAGACAACAACTCCTTGTTTAAATCATCATGGCAAGCAGCCGGAACAGTTTGGACTTGCATTGTTGGTGCCAGAGCAGTTCTCGGTGGGCTTGTTGGTCGGGAAGAAGTTGGGCTAGGTGCACTTTCTCTCACCGGAGTTCCTGTCCGCGATGGCTCTTGGCTTGGAATAGGAGTCATTTCTGTACCCATATCTCTCATGGATACAGATCTGACTGTTGGTGCCGGAGAAATAAAAGCTGTGGCGCTCTGGACAGATGTCAACGAATCATGCTGACTAAGGCTGACTGCAGAAAATGCACACAAAAGTTAGATACAGAATGAACTTGTATAAATGTCAGAGTATCAGTTAAATATACATTTTAGAGAGAGATATTTAAAGAACACAATTCAGTATTCCTACATCACTGGGCACCTTTGCATCTTTATACCTAAAAGTTTGGAGTTGTATAGTACACCATAAGGGCATCTGAAACCCTTTCAAAAGGGTTGTATTTTACTGAAGAACACAATGGACATTGTCTTCTCAAGTTTGTGTTTCTCATCTCACTAGAGAGTTGCAAAATGAAGAACATATATCACATGACTTCAACCTTAGTGACTCCATCAGCCCCATTTTGGTAGGAGTATCTATTCTTGGCATCCTAAGGCTCTAGTTTGTACTAAATCTTCAAAAGATTTCAAACAGGAACTAAAAGTAGGGAACATAAGAAGATGTTCAGCAAAGTTTCTTCAGCTGGTTCTTTTCTTTTTATTTTTTTCTCATATGACTAATTGGAACTTAATAATAAAGATGAGGCCAAGTTTGACATAAACCAAAAAAACTTATGGAATTCAACATGCATCCGATCAGGCAGGACATTAGAAATGACTTTTTATATAACTCTGATTTCTCTAGAGTAGATACTGCTTTTTTCTTTGTTAACTGAGGGCTGCAACACATCCAAGGGCATATTGGTAGACAAACTCCAAGGACTTACTTGAAGATGACAAAGAAGATGACAAGTATCAGAAAAGGTTTTCTTACCAGCAATGTCAGCAACCGGATTCTCCATGATCGTCACAGGCTTAGCCCCTGAATCCACTTCAGCATAAGGCTCTGTCACCCAATTCACACTCTCAACCCCAACAAATTCCTTCTTAGCTTGGCTTCCGTCCACTCTCTTTGTATCTGCTTCTTCCACCTCCAAAACAACCTTCGTCACTGGCTGTCGGCTTCCGTGCCCGGCAAATCCACCCTTCCTCGCCTGCCCTCCACCGGCCTTATTTCCGACTCGGTTTGACGTCGGGCTCGCAATCCACTTCTGCGCGTCGTCCCACTTAGAAGGTGCCGGCTTCGAGAAGGGAGCCACCGACACCAACCGGTGCGGCGGCGCTCGTTCCACCCTCTGGAACTCGAAACCCGACGAGACGCTCTCCGTCTCGAGACAATCGTCGTCTTGAGCCCTAAACCTCGATCCCCCAATCGCGTACTCCCTCGATCTGTGGCCGCTCGTGGTCTCCATGGAGATGGAACACTCTACATCCTTGCAGCTCTCGGCCGTACTGGCGCCTGCGAGATCTATTCCTCTTGAATCCACACACGAATAACGGGATCATTTTGGTCAAGCAGCAAGAAAGGAGGGAGAGATTTTTTACGTCTGTCGTCGCTCTCCGAGGACTCGGACCGCAAGGAGAAGTTGGCTTCGAGATCTTCCCTTTCTTTTCTCTTCGTCTCCACGCCAAGAAGCATCGCCCTCAGTCTCCCAGGCGAGAATCCACCACTCTAAACCACCACAACAACAAAGCAAAAGTAAGTCCCCACACAAACCAAATTCCGAACGAGATATCCCCCAAAACCCATCAAGAACCGGATTATAGTAAACGCTACGAAACAATCTACGATATCAGCTCCTATCCCATCCTCTCAAGCTTCAATGATTGCAAATAAGAACAACGCGCAACCATCGAACAGAAGGGAAAGGCACAAAGGGACGAAAACTGCAGCAAAACCGAAGCAATGAGGGTCCAAAGGAGCAGCTTTGGATCGGGAATCTCAGCGATCGGCCCCTGAGCTCGCAGAGACAAACACACACTAGGAGGGAGGAGGAATTGTATACCTGAGGCGCGAAGGGCTTGTGGATGCGTTCGTAATCCATGTAGGCGAGGGGAATCGGAGAGATCGATCGATCGATCGAGAGTAGGGGAAGAAGAACAAATGGAGGATCGATTGGCGGTGACGACTGTTTGTTCTGCTAACACCCGCCGATGTTTGGGTATTTGTGTCTGATTGAGACGGTTAGGAAGTGACCGACGCCGATGCTTCAAAGTTAAAAGCCCTTTTCATATATAATAATAATAATACACATAACTCAATCATCCCCTTCAGCATGGGTTAGGATCCGATAAGCTAATTCAGGATCCGACACCCAACCTGGATCCAAAATCCACTAAATCCAGGTGCATGTTCAATGATTGTTGGTCCCGAATGCATGCTGAGTCGGACAACGACGAGGCACATGGTTGGCAACAGTCGACGGGCCCACCGCGGGCCCGGCCTCCCGCTTCTTTTCCAACGTCACGTCGCCGTCTTTATTTGGACGGAGCGCTGTACGCCGAACGGCGAATGGAATTATTGTGGACGACGACAAGGGTTTGGCCGTCTCACTTTCATGCGAAGAGACGCAGTTGCACAGTTACACCGCAGTGGCGAATTCATCGTTCAGATCTTTTAGCTGTAGCTCCTTTGTCCTGTGTTCTGCTGCTTCAGCAACCCAGCCAATCCAGCAAAGCTTTAGGGCTTCTAGTACATGGTATGCATTCATGGTGTCTGGATGCATACTGCCCACCTTCAGGACCACGACATTATTATTCCTCCTCCTCCTCTTCTGAAAAGCTTACAAAGACCACAAACGAGTCATGTCCTTCTGATGCTTGTTTGGCTTTACCAAAGTTCGTGATGCATGTCAAGCAGGAAACAGCGAGTGAAGGGACTATTGCACCAGAACACCAATGAAGTGACTCTAACCTTCAACAGGGAGGAGGTGAAGACACTTGCGGTTGTCAACACCTGCTACTCTCAGGCACTTGGGCTTCCCTTCTCATCGTCAGAACTCCTAGAAGTCTCCACTGTCCATGCAATCTCTTCGTTTGTATCAAGAGACGAAATGTTTGATCTTCTTGTAGCTTCTGTTAGTTCTTTTCGTACTTGTTAGTGGCCGTAGCCGAGGTATTAGCATGGCTCGGTCCGGTCTCGGATGCGAAAGATCGTCCACGCGGATGCTCGGATGGTGAGGACGAGTGTTGGATCAGGTCGAGTTCGAGTCTCATCCCCCAAGCGCGGTCTTCTTGCTAGTCATAGGTGCCCAACAAGCCAATCATGTGAGTGATGACACGTGTGACTTGATACAGAATCTTTTTGCTTATTATATTTTGGCGTATATCACTTTATAACTATTGCATAAATGCATATATATATATTGTGATGTCCTTGGATTTGTGCAATGGGAATCGGATCGTGATGAGATCACGATAATGAGATT